TATATACTGTATATATATACATATATATACATACATATTTAAAAAATATTAAATTTTATTATGTATAATTTCCATTATAAAGCATTTATGCATATAAATTTCAATTTGAGTTCTCTTCTGTGTTTTACTTTAAAAAAATCCCCCATCAGCTGTGGGCTGCAGTGATATATATATATATTAAATTTTATTATGTATAATTTCCATTATAAAGCATTTATGCATATAAATTTCAATTTGAGTTCTCTTCTGTGTTTTACTTTTAAAAAATCCCCCCTCAGCTGTGGGCTGCAGTATTAATGATCCCCAGTCTCATGGCTGAAATCATTTTAATAATGCTGACTAAAGACTTTCATCTTTACAAAAACACAATTATTTTTAACAGATAACTTGTCAGGACTTAGTGGCAGGATGGACCCAAATGCAGGCAGGCAGGCAGACTTAAAAATTTAACAAAACTTTTATTAAATTAAAGGCCAGCATGGTGGCAAAAACAGAAAACTTACAAGTGAGTAGGAACAAGGAAGCCTGGGCAGAACATGAACCAAACAGAAACAAACAATGAACGGATGAAGGTGGAGAGCATGAGAACCAGTACAAGTAGTCAGAGACTAAGTGGAGAGTGGAGATAGCTGTGATGATTGGACAGGTGAGCAGAATGATCTAGAAGGGCTGAATAATCTGAGGATGAGATAAGGCATGAAATGAACACTAGATGGAAGCACAAGACAAGAACAYAAAACATACAAACACCAAATCCTCACACAAGTTTCATTTCAGTCTCCATCTTCATCTTGTGGTCAACCCTAGTCATTTAAATTAAATGAATACAGAACATTAACAAAAACCACACTAACATTTATAGTTAAATACAAAATGTCTCATTTTCTCTTAGACAAAAAGTCTAAAATAAGTGCAAGAAAACACAAAATAATGAAAACAGAAATTAAATTCTACAACTAAAACACTTCCTGATAAAACATGGAGGGTTTGGGTCAACACAGTGATGGGAAAAAGGAGACATCTGTGGTGTTTAATAAAAAAAACAGTTATTACTAAACACCTGAGAGTGGTTTAAAACTGAGCTGATTTATTCGGTTGTAACATTTTACATATTAAATATTACACAACATTAAACCATCTGTCAGTATGAAATGTAAAACGTGGAAGAAACAATAAAGAAGAAATGCTGACATTGTCACAATAAAACACAACCAAATTAGGATGGAACTGAAAGAGTAAGAACTGAAAGAGTAATGACAGGTAACAGGTAAAAAAAAGTCATAATAAACACATTATTATTTTATTCATGAGTTAACCTGCCTGCTTACACAGGACTAATTATTCCAGGGTTTTACATTCTTTTCATTTCAAACTTCCAGACTTTTCTAAACCTAATTCTCTAGATTTCTTCATCAGTGTTTGCACATGTTTGATCCTCAAGCATTAACACTGCCTGCACATTTCCAGTAGCCCATATGCAAACAGATGGAGGAAGGAAGATTTCTGGCCTGTTTATGAAACTATTCTCTGATGGATCATGTTAAAAATTGCCCACCTCTTGCACAGATTATGCAACACAAGGTAATGTAATGTAATGTAAACAAATAAACTATATCTAAAAACATTTAGACTTTTTCCTTTTTTCTTTAGTTGTCTTTCAAAGAGTCAGATTTTGGAAGCAAACTAAAGAAAATCAGAGCAGACCTTGGCATGTTTGGATTTTATTAATATTACAGTAAATCACGGTGGCTCAGGTGCCTGTCATGGCAGCAACCCTCAAACCCGCTGGTGGACACCGGCAGTGAGGGATGCTGTCAGGCTGAAGAAGGAGTCCTATCAGGTCTTTTAGGCCTGTGGGACTCTGGAAGCAGCCAATAGGTATCGGCAGTCCAAGCGGATTGTGGCTCGGGTGGTCACTGAYGCAAAAACCCAGGCATGGGAGAAGTTCGGAGAGGCCATGGAAAAAGACTTCCGTAAGGCTTCGAGGCGATTCTGGTCCACCATCCAGCATCTCAGGGGTGGAAAGCGATTTGCCACTGACACTGTTTAATGTGGGGATGGTGCGCTGCTTACCTCATCTCAGGATGTTGTGGGTCAGTGAGCAGAATACTTCAAAGAGCAGAGCCTGGGGACCCTGGGTCAGACTCTCCAATCTCTGGTGTCGAGGTCACTGAGGTGGTTACAAAGCTCCTTGGTGGCAAGGCTGAGATGAGATTCGCCCGGAGTTTCTTAAGGCTCTGGGTGTTGTGGGGTTGCGTTGGTTGACGCGACTCTACAATATCACGTGGACATCGGGGTCAGTTCCACTGGATTGGCAGACTGGGGTGGTGGTCCCCCTATTTAAAAACGGGGACCGCAGAGTGTGTTCCAACTATAGGGGGATCACACTTCTAAGCCTCCCTGGTAAGGTCTATTCAGGGGTCCTGGAGAGGAGGGTCCGTCGGATAGTCGAATCTCGGTTTCAAGAAGAGCAGTGTAGTTTTCGTCCTGGTTGTGGAACAATGGACCAGCTCTACACCCTCAGTAGGGTCCTGGGAGGGTGCATGGGAGTTCAACCTGTCTAGATATGTTTTGTGGACTTGGAGAAGGTGTTCGACGGTGTCCCTTGAGGACTCCTGTGGGGGTTACTCTGGGAGTATGGGGTACCAGGCCCATTGATACAGGCTGTTAGGTCCCTGTACGACCGGTGCCAGAGCTTGGTCCACATTGCCAGTAGTATTACTTCCTGCGACAGCTGAAGAAAGCTAAGCCACCGGCCAGGCTGATGGTGCAATTCTACACAGCCATCATGGAGTCCATCCTCAGCTCCTCCATCACAATGTGGTATGCCAGGGACAGACAGACTGCAGCACATTGTGCGCGCCGCTGAGAAGGTGATCGGCTGTAGCCTCCCATCTCTCCATGACCTGTATGTCTSCAGGACTGTGAGGCGAGCAGGTCGGATCACAGCTGACCCATGGTTTCAGTCCATTTGGACCAGAACATCCCGCCATAAGAACAGTTTCTTCCCCTCTGCCAGAGGACTCTAGAACATTTAGAATCACATCACTCTATAACTCTGCCTTGGCCACTTTATCACTGGATTTTAAATTGCACAACCCTGTCTACAGTATATTGTTTTTCTGGTCTACCACTGTATCTAATTGCACTACTCCAAATATATTGTTTGCTCTGATTACTGTATTGAACTGGTGTACATATGTTTTATATATTTTATTCTATGTTTTCCTTTATCCTTTGTATTTTCTATATTTGTTATATTTTATACTTATTGCACCTTTACACCAAAGCAAATTCCTAGTCTGTGAATCCTGTTCATTGACAATGGCAATAAAACTGATTCTGATTCTAAGTCGGACTCACATCRTGTGAAATTTGGACTCCGCCAAGGTTGTCCTTTGTCACGATTCTGTTCATAACTTTTATGGACAGAATTTCTAGGTGCAGCCAAGGTGTTGAGGGGATCCATTTTGGTGACCTTAGGATCACTTCTCTTTTTGCGGATGATGTGGTCCTATTGGCTTCATCAGATCGTGATGTCCAGCTCTCACTGGAGCGGTTCGCAGCCGAGTGTGAAGCAGCCGGGATGAGGATCAGTGTGCCTTCTCCGGGTCGGGGAGGAGGTCCTGCCCCAAGTGGAGGAGTTTGAGTATCTCGGGGTCTTGTTCATGAATGAGGGAAGAATGGAGTGGGGGATCGACAGGCGGATTGGTGCTTCWTCTGCAGTGATGTGGGTGTTGTACCGGTCTGTCGTGGTGAAGAGAGAGCTGAGTCAGAAGGCAAAGCTCTTGATTTACCAGTTGGTCTACGTTCCTACCCTCATCTATGGCCACGAGCTTTGGGTAGTGACCGAAAGAACAAGATCACAGATACAAGTGGCCGAAATGAGTTTCCTCTGCAGGGTGGCTGGGCTCTCCCTTAGAGATATTGTGAGAAGCTCGGTCATCCAGGAGGGACTCAGAGTAGAGCTGCTGCTCATCCACGTCGAGAGGAGTCAGTTGAGGTGGCTCATCTGGTTAGGATGCCTCCTGGACGTCTCCCTGGTGAGGTGTTCTGGGCACGTCCCACTGGGAGGAGACCCAGAGGAAGACCCAGGACACGCTGGAGGAACTATGTTTCTCAGCTGGCCTAGGAACACCTTGGGATTCCCCCGGATAAGCTGGCCCAAGTGGCTGGAGAGAGGGAAGTCTGGGTTTATCTGCTTAGGCTGCTGCCACTGAGACCTGATCCCATGTTTTACATGTTTCCCTACTTCAACACAGATGATTTAAATTGATAACTGATTAACAGGCTTTTGTTGAACTGCAGTCATCTGAATCAGCTGTGTCAAACTAGGGAAACCCCTAAAACATGCAGGGCAGTGCACCTTGAGGACCAGGGTTGAGAAACACTGCTATAATGCTTTCATGTTTTGAATTGAATTATTGAAATAAATGACACTCTCAATGATACTCTAAATTAGTGGTCTCTGTAGAACTAATATGTCTCTTGCTAAGAAGCACCACAGGAACCTCTGACGGTCTGGAAGCAGCTCCAGATACTGAACCCATCAGCAGCATCCAGCTGAGGTCTGCAGACTTGACTTCATAATGGATCTGAGCTAACAGAGTCCTGACAGATTGTCATGATTACGGTGGTTGTCACAGATCACAGATGAGTGTTTTGTGGGGCAGTTTTGGGCTGGTGCCGGACTGGGATCTCTTCGTCCTATTTAAAGAACAAAATCATTTCAGTCATCGCCTCTGGTTGTAGGTATTTTCTTCATTTTTAAAAACTATACAACAAAAACATAAAACATGATTGTAACCATTTGAAAACAATGTGATCCTCACAGTTTCAGCAGTGTCTGCAGTCTCCTCTCCCTCTGTGTGTTCACTGCCAGGAGTGAAGGCCTCAAAGTCAGACAGAGCGCTTTCCACAGCCTCTTCATCATAGTCTGTCTGGTACTCATCAGACAGCTCCTCTGAAGGCAGACCACACAAGAACCATTAGAAACAAACAAGGCTAAACTTTAAACAGTCTTTAACAGGACTGTGTTAGAACAATCGCTGACTGACCCTCTATAACAGCATTCTTCACTGGTTCAATTCTGGACACAATCTCTGCCAGGTCAGTGAAGGAGGCGTTAGGACAGGTCACCACCTGGAGGACACAAGGATTCCTGTGAGGCTTTAATTCATGACTCAACTGCTTACAGCTCTGACAAGTTTGTCTTTGGTTCTGCAGGCTGCAAACAACATTCAAAATGTCACCTGAAACCAGAATTTTGCATACACCCTATAACAGGACACGTGCATTTTTTTTCAACATGAAATCAGAATAAACTTTACCCGTTATACGTCACGTAGGAAACATCTTTCTATTTTCTACATGCCAGAATAATGAGAGAGAATTTTAAGGCAATTTTTATTACTTTCCTCAAAGTCAAAAGTTTAAATACACTTCATTAGTTTTTGGTACCACTGGCCTTAAACTGTATGACTTGAGTCAAACATTTTGGATCTCCTTCCACAAGCTTCTCACAATAGCTGGCATATAAAATGTATGTAAACTTCTGGTTACAACTAAAGACCTGAGTGGAAACAGGAGCAAACTGACACTGAATGGCAACACAAGTTTCTGCTTATGCTTCCTCTTGTGCAAGTTTAACTTAGACTTCTACACAGATAACAAAAAAGAAATCAAACAAGCAAAAAAAAAGACACAGAACAATAAACTTGATGCTCTGGAGCTACAGCAGCTGGCAGAAAAAAAATTGTCAATTTCAAAGAACATTTTAAGTATTAGGATTAAAAGGATTATGTCTGAAAACATACCTGTTAAAAACCTTTAATTTAAAGAAAGATTAAAAACTATTTTGGTTGCTGGGACCTCTGAATAGTTTCTTTATGGACTTTTATGCAAATCTCAAGTGAAACAAAAGTCTCATTTTGCCAGCATGGGTCACTTTAGTTGCCTCAAAACCTGGAATTGAAATTGTTAATAAATGTGATTGTAGCTGATGAACCTACAGAAGAAACCCCATACTGTTCAAGATAAATGGGAGGAAAATCTACACACCAGTGCTGATAGCCTCCAGAATCAACATCAAAAACTAATCAGAATTAAAGGAAAACTCTTGAGGGAAACCCTTTGGAGCATTTCAGAGATTTAACTCTGGGACGGAGGTTCACCTTCCAGCAGGACAAAGACCCTAAACACCCTGCTGAAGCTATACTACACTGGTTTATTGTCCTGAAATGGTCCAATCAAAGCCCAAACCCCAAACCAAAGAAAGAAAGAAGCATCATTTGGTCATGAAGAAGAGACGGTTAGTTAGACTGAGATCATGGAGACGACCCTGAAGAGACCCGATGCAGCAAAATGAGGTGACATAAAATCCATGAACCCTTTTTCTGTTTTATTTAACTATCCTGAATTAATTTGTGTGGACCCATTATTTATAATCAAATTGAAACTATAACTAAATTCTAGGTTAGAAGGTAACAAATTAGAAGGGATAGAAAGGGGGTGGATACATTTGCATCCCACTGCACATATAAAACAGCAGCTGTGCCACTCACGTGACCAGCCTTGGTCTTATGGAACTCCTCCTGGTGTCTGTCCCTCAGCATGGAGTCCACCACACCGCTGCGGTGCCACACGTCAAACAGGGTCTTCCCGTGTTGGTATCCTACCTCCTGCAGAGGCAGCCGAGCAACGTCAGGACACTCAACAGCAGAATATTAAAAAAAAGACAGAGGTAAACAAACTGCAGAGGCAGGAGAGACACTCACAGCGATCTCGTCAAACTTGCCAAAGTCCAGAGTGCCGTAGCGGTCGATGGGCGGCCGGATGTACTCGCAGTAATTGCTGTCTTTGACCAGCTCCAACTGCCGCACACAGCACACGTAAGCAAGCCGCGTTTGGATCTCTGCCATGTTCAGGACCTGAGAGGAAAACACACAGAAAACTAGGGATGTCCCGATCAGATACTCAGTATCGGTATCGATGGCAGATAACGGCCATTTTTTCAAAATCGGTTAGAATTGGATTTAGTCATGTGTAGGGGTACAACCTACACTTCTTATAGCAAAAGTTATAAGGAAATTCACGYGTTTTTCTTATTTTCGGTAATACCTTCTTTATACAAAATGAATGGACAAAACACACAATAAGATGAGCGTACTCAGTGAGTTTAGGTTGATCTAAAATAATAGAATAGAATAGAAACAGCCTTTATTGTCCCGCGCGGGGAAATTCTGGTGTAGTAGCAGCAGCACATTCATCAACAAGATCAACAAAACAAACAAGATCTTTTATTTATTTACAGAATCAAATAAATCACTAATGTACAACTTATTGTGAGATTATTTTCTTTTTAAAATTTAACAACAAACTTTAGATGTCAATAAACCATTTGTTTGTGGCACTTTTCTTAAGTTTTGGCAGGGCATAAGTTTAAGAGGAAAGAAAGGAGGAGGAAGAGGGTTAGTTAGTTTTAACTTTAAAGAATGTGGATTTTAACCAGAAAGGGCAGATGTCTCTCAACGAATATAGCCAAACCTCAGGTATGCTCAGTAACAAACAGCCATTACCTTGACTGGGGATAGTTTCACCCACCATGGCTCAAGTCAGTGGAAAGATCGTCTGGTGAAGAAATTCTTGGAACCCTATCCACTTGGACACTTTCGAGGCGTGTTTATGTTACTCCTTCAGCATCTTCTGTGCTGCTTTCAATTGAAGATCAGAGACGAGGCGCTTCTTGGTATACATCTCAAAAATAGAAAACTTCCACCATGGAATTTTCAAAACAAAAGTTTCTCTGTGAGGAACTTTGGTAAACTCAAAATAGATGAGACCGAGTGATGGTCTGGTCCAGACTGAGAGGTTCCCTTTGACTCAATGGGCTAAACCTTACAGCCAAACGTTGATTTTCCTCCTCGGAGAGCCAGTTGCGTCCTCATGAAGCATGCTTGTGTTCGCTTTCCAACTCAACTCAACTGACTAGCTGTGTTAGTTCAGAGATGTTAGTTTAAAAAGAGAGGAAGTGTTACTGAGCATTGCCAGCAAGGCTGGACTGGGACCAAAACCGGCCCGGGCATTTTTTGGTCATGGTGGCCTACCATCATTATTTATACAATTTACAAATACCAGAGGATGTGTTTGCATGTTGTGTTTCACAAGTTAAAGTACAGCAGCCTACAACGAAGAGAGTAACCATGTTAAATAAACTGATGAGCTCTTCACTCAGAGACTTTAATATTCATGAGGTTCTGATGCTCAGTCAGTGGATCAGAGAGCTGGATACAAACTGAAAGGGATCCCCTATTAGTTGTAACATTAGACTTTATTTGATAAACATATACTTTAACTGTAAAATAAAGACTGTAAAAATACTGTAGTCTGTTTTGTTTTGTACATTTTTGAAAATATATTTTAACARGGACTGAGCCATTTTATTTACATGCAAAGCATTCTGGGTAAATGATGACGTGGGTAGGTCATCGGTGCGAGGCTGCTAGCGAGCTATATCCACCTGACYGTTACTCATTAGACAATATCTGATGATTGCCTCTTTTAAATGAAACCAGAGAGCGTTGACAGAGAGGAGAAGGTAGAAATGACTCAGCCTGCAACTGAAAATATGGATGGAGGACAACAGAGCTGCTTCATGGAAGAAGAACCTCAGCTTAGCCTGTTAGCCTTTGTGCTAGCACTGACACTATATTGCCTTATATGTATTAGCTCGGTGCTGGTGCGACAAACAAGCTAAACTGTTGTCCTCCATCCATATTTTCAGTTACAGGCTGAGTCATTTCTACCTTCTCCTCTCTGTCAACGCTCTCTGGTTTCATTTAAGAGACAATCGTCAGATTGAAGAAATTTATAGTTATTACAGGTTAGTACTGATGTTAGAAGCACAACACTATATTCTTAGATTTTCCTTTTTATAATGTTGACAATGTTTAATCTATTATGTTTTGATTGATAACAGATTAGTTACATGTCCGAAATATCTATAACAACACATATTCAACCGTTATGAGAACATTAGATGAGAATTTTGTCTGAATGCCTGTGATTCAGCCGTAGGTCAGTAGGGGGCGAATGCATTGAAGAACATGTATAAATTGATGAACTTCCTGGTTTTTCGCCAGTGTGGTTTCCTGTCATCTCAAGTGACAATAAACCCCACTCAGATCCAGAATTCTGATGTTGTATGGTTTGATTCCTTCTACAAATCATTTTATTTAACAATGGTGGTTTTAATATCGACTTCAGTTTATTGAACATGCATTTTCTTACAGTTTTGGTGACCCCGACGTTTGCTGCAAGTCGAGGCGAGGGCTGCCTCGTTCTCTTGGCTTCTCGGCCTAGCGGGTGGGAGGACAGGTCATCATAAGTTCTGGGCGCCAGATGACAGGTGAGCAAAATCATTTTTTGCTTTCCATTTTGATAAACAGACAGGACTGAAGGACGATCTGTTTTTCCACTGGCTGGCGCGTGGGGCTGGGGGGTTAGAGGAGCCCCGCTAAGTGTTAGCTTTGCTAAGCTAAGCCTGTGGGTAAGCTCAGCAAAGGAGCGTGATATTCGGCGTAGTCATAACAAACGAGGTTTAATGTGGACAGTAAAAGACGGTTTAAAAGCGTTTAAACATATCAGTCTGTGGGGGTTTAAAGCCATACAATAAATTGGGCCCTTTAGGTAGTGAAATACTGTATGTGTTTTTGTATGTTTTGTGGTGCGTGTTGCGTGTAAAAATATTATCTCTTAGGCCGTTTTATCTTATGAGTTCTTTCTGAAAACCTAAGTGGGTCTTCTGTAAAAGACTGCGCTAAATAGGTGGGGTACAACATTACAAATACATGGTGGCCGCATGGGCAGTTATATTATGCCCGTCAAAAGGAAAAATCCATGAATTGTAAGTTGTGATTTCCTGGTGGGTATTTTCGCAAGGTTTTAAAAAAATCCTTATTTAAAGGTGGGGTATACATGCGCGACATTGGGAATAAATCCAGGGGTCAAACACTTTTTTTCCTCTCTCTATCATTTGTGAGAATGTATGTGGGGTGGTTCTCCATTCAGCAGGTGTCCATTCACACGGATGTGTCATGTATTGATTCAGAATAAAAGTATTCTGTTACAAGAAGTCTGGCACTGACGTGACCGCTGGTGGATTATGTGGGACATCTGTGGGTGGGCATAGACAGGTTTTGGGTTTTGTTTTCTTGTTTTAGTTTAGGGTAGCTGCAGCCGGGAAATTGTACAAACAGCAGGAGGTACTGGGGTGGACTGCTGCTTAGGGTAGTCTACGTCAGGGTCATCACCTGCTGGGCATTGCGCCAGATTTCCTGTGCTGGGGTTACGTGAATAAATTATAAACACGTCTGATAAATTTGTAGAAGATTTGCATAAATTCTAAGACGAGTCTCAGGGGGTGGTCTTATATCGGACTTTTCAGGTTTATCTTGAAGGTGTTGAATCTAAAAATTTAAGGATGGAAAAAGATGTTTGTTGTTAAGATGTGCCAAGGTTTATTGCATGACGGAGACTTGTCACAGTTTGACCTAGCAGCGCCCACACCTGCAGCAATAGACAGAATTGTTTGTAAATTGGATGTGGTTGTTAGGAAGAAGGTTGATTGTTGAAAGGGCCTTGAATGACGAACTACTTAAATGACATCTGTGTCCGCAGACTAAGCTGTTAGAAAACACCTTGAAATATTGTTGTATAATAAGAATGTTATGTCCCTAAAGAGATGGAGAGTACAGAGTAGCTGGAGAGTGGCTGAGGGTATGCGCTTAAGACAAAACATTTCTGGCTGAATAAACCTTATCTATTTAATTACATTGAATGGTTTCAAACAGGTTTAGAAAACAAATGGTCATAACTCAGCAGTACCTGCAACTTTCTGGTGTCTTTACTTATTCTGCCTCATAATTTAGGAAAAATAAACGATAGTGATAAAACTGGAACCTACCACCACGTGGTGTTGGTTGTAAAAAAAAAAGTCAGCAGGAAAATTTGATAATAGTTCTGAGTTAAATCTGGTTGTTAGTTTACATATGAAACTAGTCCTTAAACTTAGACTTTGAATTTATTAATCTCTTCCAGTGCGATAACATTTTAAATTCAACAATCTTTAGTGTAAAATTAGTTCGATAAAAAGGGCAATATTGAACTCTCTCCCTCTCAGTACCTAGGTGTTATAAAAAAGGCAGCAGCCTTTCTCTAGAAAAATATATATAGGTACCAATATAATTTTCAGGTTGAAACCGTGTGTCAAAGCTGTTTTTCCAGTTTAAGCTTCTGATCCTGCTCGAAACAGGTAAACAAAAATATACGTCCCTGCCACACTCTTACACATATTCTGGTCCTGTCCAAAGCTACATGGATACTGGCAAAGCATCTTTGACACCTTTTCAGGACTTTTTGGACGAACTGTTCATCCATCACCACTCATTTCTCTTTTTGGGGTGGCTCCAGCAGAAGCTTCCCTCAGTGAACATCAGAGGACGGTGTTAGCTTTCTGCTCTCTACTGGCTAGAAGACTTATTCTTCTTCGATGGAAGGATCCACATCCTCCAGTATATGGTCATTGTTTAAGAGAAGTTATGTCTTACATTCATTTAGAGAAGATTAGATATACTGTTAGGGGATCTGTAAACAAATTCTTTGACATCTGACAGCCATTTTTATCTTACGTAGAAAAAACTTCAGCAGATAACATTGTCTAATGGTCAAATAATGGTTCTATTTCGTGTAAGCTCCGCCCTCTAAGGCTATCGCTGATAGGTACCCCGCTTGCGCTCACGCATTCTGAAGAACCAATAGTCTACGCCCACGTACTGTGGGCCCCACCTCGGTCCGTATAAAAGGGGAGGACGGACTTGAGTTCAGCTCCCCCTTTTTTTCAGCTTCGGCATTCGACATGTAACCATAGAAG